GAGCAAGGGAGGGGCAGAGGGAGAGGGAGACGCAGAATCCAAAGCAGACTCCAGGCTCCGAGCTGGCAGCACAGAGCCCAACGCGGGGCTCAAACTCACAGACTGTGAGATCATGACCTGCACCGAAGTCGGACGCTCAACCGACTGAGCCACCCAGGTGCCCCTTCAGTGAGTTTTTAAAACTGTTTAAAGTTTTTAAAGGAAGTTTTGGCTACAGACATTTAGTAATTGTCCGTTTCTTAATGTTTTCCAATGTATCAGCAGGAAGCAGTTGATAGGATTACGTTGAGCGTGCAGATGTAAAGCACACACAGTCCTTTGCATGCGGATGAGTACAGGGGCACATCTGTGGGGTCACGTTTCCCTTGTTTGTGTGCCTTTCTCAGCCAGATGTGCCAGGAGCTTGTCTTCTGGTTCATTGAGGCCCTGTGTTATTTTTCTCCACGAGGGGCCTCTTGTAGACACAGGTGCTAACCCTCTCCTCTCCGGTCAGCGCCCACACAGGGCAGCTCCGTGCACCTCCTCTCTGGTTTCCTTCCATCCCTTCTCCTCCCCACTGTAATACTTCCATTGAGCCGTCACTCGTCACTTGATGTTACGCACTGTATGTTATTAAAATGATGCATTTTATTATTATGCATGTATCGTTGATCTTACAAATAGTTATTTTACCAGTAAAAACGGGTTTGTTTGGGAATAAAAGAAGATTGCAATTTTGGACCAGCAAGCTATGGCTAAACCACAGGCAAGTGCAGCAAAGAAGGGAGAAGAATGTTATTTCTCGGAGGAGGAGGAAGTCGAGAGGGGTTGTTTTAATGAAAGTCCACTGGAGGAAAGCGAAAGTCCAGGGAGGGTCAGTTTTTTATAGGAGATGCTATGTCCATCTCTCCTGTTGGGGCCTGTAATTGGTGGTTTATTCTGTCAGGGTCTGTAGTCAACAGTCCTTCCCGTGATTGACATTGAGTGGTGCCGCTCCCCTCCCAGCCTCACCTCCTGGCATCCGGGGTCCACTTGGGGTTTGCCTTTGTTAATTGCACAGTGCCTTTGGAACCACATCTTAACGGTTTGTGAATGTATGTTTTTAATTTTGTGCTGCAGACTTCACTCTGATTTTTTATTCACACTTGCTTTTTGAACATGCATTTGAGTGCCTGCTATGTTCTAGGAATGTGCTGAGCACATACGCTAAATCAAAATCTTGGTTCTTTTGGGACAGACAGCCCAACAGTCAAGTAAAAAGGATGTTAGCTGGTGTTAAGTGACAACAGGGAAACCTCAGAGCAGGGCAGACAGACGCCGCGGGGACTCCTGATGTACTTCTTGTTCAGTTCCTCTGACTGCTGCGTGCCATTCGGTTGTGTATTCGCTGTTTCCGTCACGATGGGCATCTCAGCTCTCCCCACTCCCCACTGCCGCAAAAAATCTGGCGATTATCCCCGTGTGGGGACTCTCTCTGGAACCAGGAGTGGGGGGCTGACACATGCCTGTCTCATTTCCCTGGGGGACTTCTCTACATGGTGATGCACCCATCCACTCCCCCGAGTTAGTCTATGGGGTCCAGTTTCCCCATAGCCCTGTTGGCTAACATTGTTTTATTTTGTATTTTTCTGATTGTCGGAGCCTTTGAGTATCATTTCGTCCACTGACTAGCTGCCGGGGTCTTCCCCTTGTGTGAGTGCCCCTTCATATGTCTCACCTCTTCTTTTACCGCATTCTTCGCCTGTTTTTTGATTAGCACGAATCCCGTGTACCATGTAGACTTTAATCTGTGGTCACTTGTTGAGGTAGTATTCTATTACGTTGACTTCAAGATGCACGTTCTTTTTGCTTTTCCTGTTTCACAACCTCTGAAGTGGGGATGAATCCTGCAGCTGAGAACCGTCATTAGCAGTGCCTGGGGGGGGGGGGCTGTCCCCACCTGTGTATCGAGCACTTGCTCACGGCTGTGCCCACTGCCAGCACTTCGGTTGTTACAGACGCTGCTGGCAGGTAAATCAGCGGTTGGCGGGGGAAGGGGCCCGACCCCTCCAAGCCGGAGACAAGAGGCTGCACTGACGAAGGCTTTGAACGTCCCTTTGTCAGATCTCTGCCTGTGAGTGATCCCGGCTCGCTTTTAGAATTGTCGTTCGGTCAGGGGAAAGATGAGTTGAGTCCAGTAGGGAAGTCCCGGTGTCAGAATTTGGAGCGTGGGGGACACTAACCTGCCAGGTAACCTCAGAGATGGTGGGGGAGCATCCTAGACAACACGGGGTCCTCCTGGTGGCGGGGGGAGCGTGTTGTCTGAACACCCGTGAAATCCACGACTCGGGAGAACGAACAGTGGAGACTTGGGCGAAGAGGTTAGGACTGTGTCGATGGACTTACCCTGCTTATGTTTTCCTTTTCACAAGTACGGACGTACTGGGACAAATCTGTGTCGAAGCGTACCTAGTAGAAGTGTTCATTAAACGTAAACTACAAAATTCTAACACGACAGAACGTTACCTTTTAGTTGGCACTGGTTTTCTTTCTTGGCGGTAGGCAAAAACCTACCGTTGGCATCATAGATTCACTAAAGTACAGTAAATCTCTTTATCACCGGCTGTTGACTGTGTGGTGTCTTCATCGAACCAAAATTCTTCATTTTGACTCAGATTCATCCATTTTGGTCTCACTGTGTTCGGGGACTTACCAGCAATGGTTCCTACTCCAAGGTCACATTTTCATCTGTTTTTTTTTACATTTTCATCTGTTATGTCTTTGAAAACATCTTTTATGGTTTTAATATGTCTAGAATTAATCTGGGTACATGTTTATCCAAGTTTATTTTTCTCCATAGGGAAGAGAGGTGTGTAATTTGGTAGTTTGTGGGGCAGCTGCTGTCACTCACAGGTATTTGTGTGCACAGTTCTCTGGAGTTCTAGTCTTTCCTCGCTCTGGGTGCCTGTTCTGGCACTGGTACCCGACCCATGGTTTTTGTTTGTTTGGTTTCTTTAATGTTTATTTCTTTTGAGAGACAGTGAGTGAGCACGGGAGGAGCAGAGGGAGGGGAAAACCCCAGGCAGGCTCCTCGCGATCAGCACGGAGCCCACAAACCGTGAGATCACGACCTGAGCCGAAATCAAGAGTCAGGGTGCTTAACCGACTGAGCCACCCAGGCGCCCCCTCAACCCATTGTTAATGGGGTTTTGGAATACTAGTTTCCTTCTGATAAAGCATCATCCTGTTTCTAAATTCACTTGAAATTACTGACTCTCACTAATAGTGAGGTTGTGAGTTTGGATTGGAAAGGGTTTTATGTTTCCTCCAGCTAGTCCTCTGAGGCCTTGATTATGGAGTCTTTCTAGATTGGCTTTATTTGCTCCTGGGAGAGACCCTGAAGGTTCTCATACTCCCGCGTTCCTTGTTACGTGCCCAGTGTGACGTTCCTGCTAGCCTGCGTGGAGCACAGGCGTGAGCTTCCATTTCTTGCTGGAGACTGGTTCCCCCCCCCCGCTCCCAGTGCCGGACAGAAACAAGATCCTTGTGTCCCTACGCCGTGGTGCCTCTTGGCAGCTTGCCGGCTGTGGTTAGGGGCTTTGGGCGTACTTCCTTTTGACGGTTTGATTGCGTGTTAGTTTTCGTACAGTGGCCGTGACTTTTCCAGCAGCAGCCTTAGTACAGACTTGTCCACGCACGTGTTTTGGTTTTCCATGTCTGTGTGGGTGCCAGCACCTCCACACCGGGACCACCGGGAAACTCAAGGGCGAGAAGCAGGAGACTGAATGAACGCTGGATTCAGAAGCAGAGTAGGTGGCTTGAAGGAGAAGCCCCTGAGGCCAAAGGGAAGAGGGAGGGAAATATTTAGAGAGCACCTGTGACGGGCCAGGCCCTTATCTAGCAATGACCCTGAGAGGTGGGTTCCTTCCATACTTTAGAGATGAAGAAGCCGAGACCCCCAGCGGCCGAGGAGCGTCCCCGAGCTCCTGGAGCCACCAGGAGCCAAGAGGCAGAGGGCGTCTGTCTGGCTGACCGCAGCCCTTCCCTGCGTCCTCCTGCCTCTTGTACAGGTTCACCTACTTCTGTGAATTTACTTCGAGTGCCCGTTGTCTTCCTTCCCTGCGTTCCCACACGTTCTGTTTCTCGCACAAGAAGCCAGTTCTGATCGCACGTCCCGAGAGCCGTGTTTCCAGTCTTTTCTGACGGCAGCGCGTCTTCCAGAGCAGCGCGTGTGCACAGGGGTGCACGTGTGCAACTGAGGCAGGCTCGCGCCGCAGTCCTTGCCTTGGGCCTGTGCTCTGACGGCCTCCGTCCTGCTCGGCTCGCGGCTTCCTTCGGCCCCAAGAGCCTGGTCGAGACCACGTTGGCCTCGCTAGCTCGTGACCCCCGGTTTGGCCCCGTGTTTTTGAAGCGTGGCCTTGAGGAGTGTTGTCAGCAGGGGGCGTGGCAGGTGGCCTCAGTAGCTGTCTCCTGTCCCGGCCCAACTCCGGTCCGTGCTCCCGGGCTGCTGGCCACCCTGTCTGCCCCACACCCTACCTCTCGAGCAGTAATCCAGCACTAACTTCAGAACCCCTGCGTACTTTTTTCGGTGGCTTTCCAGAGTTAACGTGTATTTTTGAGCCACTTAACTACAAGGCCAGAGCTCGTTCTGCCTGTTCTTGCTTTTGATGGTGATGTTTTTAGATTTCCTTCCTATTTGTCTTATTCCAGAGTTTTTTCTGAGGTACTTCATTTACTTGTTTCTTCATGAGTTTTAAAATCAAAAAGATTTACCACTAATCTGTGTTGGAATTATCACTCACTTTTTTTTTTTTACCTAAGTAGAACAAAGTAGCCTAATATGAATAGAGCTAATGGCCGATTTTTAACGTACCATTTGCTAACTGTACGTGTTAGAACTAACAAAAAGAGCTGGAAGACGAGGATGCAGGTCGGGCAGAGTGACAACACTTGTGTGTCTCGTGAGCCACCAGGGTGGGTGGTGCCGCGTCCCTGTAACGTGAACATCTGTTCACAGGTACCTCTCTCCTCTCTTTCCCCAGCCCTCCGAGCCACAACATTGTGGTGAATGGAAAAAAATGTGTAAACTTCGCCTCGTTTAATTTTCTTGGATTACTGGATGACCCTCGGGTCAAGGTAAGCGGCCCCCGCGCTGGAGGCAGCAGGATTCCCTGCGAAACTGGGCCTGAAATAGACAAACAGAGGGCGTCAGGAAGGGCGCTCTCTGCTGCTGGTGCCGTCACTGTCGCCCGGCAGAGCCGGAACCTGGTCTCGACAGAGGGTGGGCGATACGGGCGTCTGACGTGGCTCCGTGGCGGTGACACACAGAGAGCCGCGGGAGGCGGCCCAGGTAGTCGTGGGAGGCACGTCTGGGAACCCAGTCCATCTCCCGTTGGGAGTACGGGCCAGGAAGCTGTTTGGAGGACAGACTTTTGCCTGGAAACGCCACAAAGTATAAAGGCATTGAGTTAACCAAGTTTGGATAGGTTAAAACACAACTTCTCCACGTTTTAAGTTCTGTCCCTAAATCTTTACATGTGTCTGCTCTTTATATCCTGTTGTTAGAATGGCCACGGTTCTAAGAAAGGAAGCAAAGTTGGGGGGCGGGTTGCCATGTGGGTTGAAGAATAGGATATGCCAGTTTTGAACTCTGAAAGATATGTTATTAAAACCTGATTTTTCTTACATCCACGAAGGCAGCGGCTTTGGTGTCCTTGAGGAAGTACGGCGTGGGGACCTGCGGGCCTAGAGGGTTTTACGGCACATTCGGTATGTTTCTGCCCTCTCTTCCAAACTACTGCTTTTTTTTTTTTTTTTT